CCGCTCCCGGAATGATCCATTCCACATTTAAACTACCAACATTTGTGATTGTACAAAGATGCACGGCCTTATAACCCCTGCTACTCAAGAGCAGATGGACACTCTGTGGATGACAAATCGACTCTCCACTATACTATTCGAAATGGAATTCGGTACAACTTAATTTCATTTCTGGAGACAATGCATTGTACCAAACAAGTAATCTAGCCCAATGGTCTAATTCTTTTAAAGTTCTTATGTACATCATTGTGTATAAGTTGTTGCTCCGTGGGGATTTAAAACAGTATATTCGTAACTTGCATTACTATTTACTATCTTTGTATACAAAGTAAGGGAGACGTGGATTAGAAAGACAGGAAGCATTGTTTTGATATGTTGGGGTCTAATCAGCCTTGCAAATCCATCCTCACTAATAGAATACAAGCTTACTACCCTACTTGACCACTAGTCAGCAGATTAGATCGTTTCATTTTGTCTACACATGATAGATCACAATCAATCTTTTCAAAGATATTGGCAATCACCTAACTCAGAACAAGTCTCCAGGGCCTGCCGAACCTTCTTTATAGGCTGAGTACGCCAACTGCCGTGATTTACGATTCTGATCAACATTGTAACGTCTAAATGGATTCTTTTTCCGGATAAATAGTTTTTTTACACAAGATTAAGCTGAGATGAAAAAGCAGGATCGAACTGAAGACCGAATCTGAGTCGTGGGGACCGGAGAAGGAAAAGTAAACAATTTTTCAATAAGTGAGCGCATTTTTCAGTAACTATATTCGGACAAATTGTTACACTCAATCACATTCAAATACTGGGAAGAGACCTGGTATCAGAAGATCATGGGAGTCGATCGGGGATGGGGGACGAAATAATGAAATGATAAGTGAGCAAAATCATGGACCCTGATAACAGGTCGTCGTTGTTTACCAGATTTGATATCACACAAGCATGGGGCAAAACGCATACGCACAGACAAACACAATATTTTCAATATGCAGACAAGAAACAGGGCTAATGATCTACGTATGAGGGACAAATGGAGAATTCGTTGTTCGAATAGGTGAGACCGGAAGTTTTAGGGCAATGCAAGGCGTGGGGATGAGGAAAAATCACATTTTCACGGGCCCCAGTCTGGTTTACTTGGGTGGGTGAATGCGCGGGGGAACAGTTAGGAAAGAGAGTGTGTGTGATTGACTGAGCGAGAGTAGGAGAGAGAGGGATGGAAGGTCTTCTCTCCGGGAGCCGTCGCGATGGCTGATGGATGTGTGCGGATGTGCATGAATGCGGCGACAAAAGCCCCAGCTTCACAACGGTCTTCACTTTCCTCTTTCGATGGAGTAAACAGCAGTGTAAAGTAGGGTTTGTTTCAGACGAAAAAATGCTGGTGAAAGTGAAACAAATCTTTGGGGATTGTCATTTTGCTGTAGGGCACAATGGATTGATTGTTTTCTGACATACGAACTATTTCGCTAGAACAGCGTTAAGAGACTGCTTTACAAGATTACTGGAAATTCCGGTAGATTTGTTGTTGTTTAAAGTCCCTCTTTGGTTTTCTAAGAGGGCTTGTGAGATTTGGTACAATACAGTTGACATCCGGTTCAAATCTCTTGATCATCGCGCATGTGCGCCCGTCTGATTGAATTTCAGAGATAGAAATCGAAATGAGAATGGCTTAGTTTCTTCTAACTGCACTGACTAAGGCAGTAAATCTTTAACACTGATTGTGCAGAGATGTCCAGGTGATGATAATGATGGTAATAATATTGATGTGGATGATGAACACCGATTGTGATGGTCACAAAAGTAAGAATAACAGTCGGAAATACACACGATAATAGCGGATTCAAGTGAATTACTGATAACGGAAGTGGCAAGGAATCTAGCTCTGAAGGACGGGGATGGTCTATGGAGTTGCTCGTGGATCTTAATCCTCTTCTTCGGGTTTCTCAGTCCCAAAGATATTTTCCAACCATCGAAGAACACGGTTCACAGAGATTCTTAACTTTGATGGTTGAGGTTCATCTTCATCGTCCTCTTCGGCCACACCGCTGTCCACCAGACTACTTTGGTCATCGTTGTCATCATCTTCATCATCGTCTTCGTCATCGTCTTTCTTTGCCACGGTAGGTGCAGGCTTCTTCACCGGTTTCGCCTTGGCCTTGGAAGCTGTAATTGGTTTTCGGCAGAAAAAGTTCAAAAAGGAAATTACATCTATTTAGTATGTTTACAAGATATTTTGCCCGATCTAACTGCGGATACCCCTGGGGCTATGTAAAACAAACTAACGTCAACATTCATCATCACTGCTGTGTTATTTATTAAATTTTCCAATCAGAACAATAAGTGAGTTAGCTGGATTCGATGCTTTCATGAATTTTGGTATAAAGATCAAAATTTGACACTGGAACATTACTGTTCGTGAGTACTCGTTTCTGACTTTCCGTGAAATACTACCACGGGGTTACTTTTGGGCAATATATTTAACGTAAATGATTAATAGCCACACAAACTGTAGCTACTTTCCAATGGTCTATGTTTCACGGAAATACCTGAGAGTCACGTTCTGGTTCGAGTTTGATAGGTACACAAGTTTCCTCCGAATTAACTTTCTTCTGTTTTTTTATTCCGTTGCTCTATGTCGACCAAAAGTATGAGTCAACCGCATACACAGACAAATTGAACGGTCTTGAGTGTCATGATTTGAAGCGATTGATTTGAGTGGTAGGACATTCAATAATTAGAAAGTAATTCATCAGACAATGATAAAGTACTATACGTGACACTGAAAAACCTCGGAAACAATATTGCTCAACCCTCTGCGTCAGGCGTCGTCAACAATGCATAACCACCGAGGCTGTGACGATTCGAGCCAGGAAATACAGCCTTATAAAGTTGTAATTAGTTGAATAAACTTATTTGTATTTGTAGAACTAGTGTAAGCTTATATGCCTACATTTCAGTAAAATAAATTGTGCCACACATGTGACCCCTTGTCTATCCAGACTGGCAATGCTTTTTGCTCTCTTGCTGATAAAGGATTTCTCGATCTCTGCCTGTAAAAATTACTTAAGAACATAGAACTTGCAAATCCTACCAATGGGGACAACACCATTAATATAGGTACTCAATCAGCGATTTCTCATCCTCGACTGGAGCCCAGTCAGTCCTCACCACAGACAATCAGATCCAGTGAAGTAAACATATTGTTTTTGCAGACGTACCAGACCAATATTATAAGTTGCACAAACAGTGGATAGTGGAAATTCGATTCGAACAGAAACATACTCTCACTGATTGATCGGTTTGGGGAACAAACGCTTAGGAACAGTTTGGTTGCACACTGCGGTGCAACTGATCTTCCATTCATGAACTGTTCACTTATTGTTATTGTTCAGAAGTACCAAAGTGGTTGTGAAAAGAGACGCGAGCAATTGGAAAAGGTGAACTAGAGTACTGGGTCTGATGATGGACGCATGCACATGCCATGTGAAGTTCGCAATTCAGATTGACTTCGTTTCTACGTGAGTGGCAAGTCGCATTAGCTCAGAAAACCGGTAAAACTGGCCCAAGTATTCTTCTCTTCATCTTCTTATCATATAACATTGATTGCGTTATGTGAGTTGAATTTGCTCAGTTGGTGTGATAAGGTAAGTTTCTTTATATAGTAAAAGAGATGAAATAAATACCTATCGTTAGTGGTGGACTGACATCAGCTGACCAAATCAAGCGGTTTTTACTTTTTCAAGCATGAGGGATTGACTTCTAAACTTCCGGTTGCTTTCTCCCATTCTGCTATGGGGTATTACCAAATGTTTCCTCTGAATGGTGCATGGAGTGCTGAGTATTCGGGTTGGCATTGGTTGCAGTCCATGTTCAAATAAGGTATTTGTTTATAGATAGTCTAACGGTTGCAGCAATAATCATTTACCGTGAATTCAATGTTTGCAGCCTCGCAATCGGTCAATAAGGCACCGGTAACTGTAGAGTCAATTGAGTTTTCTGTTTCCATTTCTTTATGGAGATTTACAGTCTATGTAAAATCGTTTTTTCAAAAAATAAAAGACTACAGCAATACCAAGTTTTCCGGGAAAATCAAGTAAGTTGTAAGCTTTATGGCATTATTGGTGGGGTTCTATTTCTTGTATAGAAAAAGTGTTTATTAACTCATTACTGTTTTGTTCTCCCATTCGAATAGGCCCGCTATAAGGCGTATATTGCCTTTTTTCGATTCAGGCAGCAATCACCACCGTCTTATGTATTTTGTGTTGTGCGGAAAGATATAACCCAGGGGAAAACGGGTGGTGGGTAGGTGTGTTCATGAACTATCCTTCAGTGGTAATACGGCAGTAGCAGGATACAGCATATCATGTGCTGACATGCGTGTTCACTTGCAGGCGAGTCACAGTTAGCCACAACATCTCTTAATACCTGTTTGTCATTCGCCAAACCTTAGTATATTCTGTGCCTTAGGTCTGCGATAAATAGAGAATATCGTTTAACTGGTTAAATCTAGTATTGTATATACGGTTACGTTCAACTTCATCATCGGAAGAGAGCATTGGGTTGCATAACAAGACAACTGAACAATAAATTCAATAAAATCTGCATGACCCTATTCATAGGCATATCAATTGGTACTCTGTTTCCTGGTGCATGCATAGTCAGTTTCGGATCAGAGTATTAATTTGCAGATGGGGGTGGGGTAGGGGTTGTCATGAGAATGAGAGAAAAACGTGCAAGTTGTTTTGTTTTCATTGCGATCGAGTTGAGATCGATGCCGTTCGAGTGCAATCAACGCGATCGTCGTCCCAAATTTTTCTCACAGGTGGCAAACAACAACAACAACAGTGATAGGTGAATATTGCCGGAGTGCGAATGAATGATTAGTGTAAGAAAATCTGAGGGAGGATTAATATCGCATTCCTCATCCGAAAAGCATTCGATCAACACTGATTCGAGATCTCCATGGATGTGGAGCAATCGAACAAACCCCGGACTCATGTCATTCGTCCGGATATAGGCTTGTCCGCCTCAAACTCACCGGACATTTGCAATTCCAAAATATCAGGAATATTATTCTGATTTTCATCTTCTTCCACATCTGGAATTCCATCTCCGTCATCGTCGTCATCCAAATAGTCTGGAATATTATCGTTGTCATCATCTGTGTCCAACCAGTCAACAATTCCTAATAAGGTGATTAGAAAGCGATACCGGAGACCCATGTGTGTTAAAAAGAATTTTCTTTTCACATATGGGACTACATGCTAATTTCAATCAGAGGAATAAACCATGTCATTATCAAAATTAACTGATCACACAAGCGTCTTGTAAATAAGATGAAAATACCCTGATCCATTGTCTTCTCCCCACAGTATGTACTAAAGTTCTCAAGCCTACGAAATACAACTTTTCTCCGAGATCTAAAATGATTTATTCGAACCAGTCCTATGATGAGGACGCTTACTCCTTCGGCCACAGCTGTCTCGGTTTCATTCCAGGATGTCCCAAAATTGCAAAAAGCGAGTATATCACTGCATATTATTGTTTCCTACATCAGTACAAAAGCTCCCTCAATCCTTGTCTTCGATGTAGTTGTGATCATCCGGTGAATCATAATTACGTGTCAATTATTTGATTGGTTCTGTTCTTCTTTCATCAACTAACCTAGCCGCTAGCTTTTCTGTTCCAAAGGATGTTTGACGCAACCGCGCTGCCTCAGTCGTTGAAACAAGGCATGATTTCTCCAATTTACAAAGGCGGCAGCGGCAGTGATTCTGCCAACTACCACCCGGTGACACTCCTACCCGTTTTATCCAAAGTCATGGAATCCATCGTGGCGGATTTCTTGATGGAACACTTAGAGAAATNAAAGAGATCATGTATTACCAACCTGCTCCTGGCCCGCGGTGAATGGACAAAGGCAGTAGACAACGGTGATCCAGTTGATGTGGTTTACCTGGACTTCTCCAAAGCGTTCGATCGGGTGA